GGGGAAACAATGTAAGTACTGCTAGCTTCTAAGAGTAGAGTATCTTTGGAAGCTCGTTCATTACATTATGTACAATCGGAGTCGTGCAAAGAAGAAAAAAGGATAGCCTCACATACCTTGTATATACTGCCCCAATCTCAGCTATGCAATTTTTCACGACTCCTTAGTCTACAATAAGAGAAACGATACTATAGTTACCATTCAAGCGTCATAACTATTATGTGTCGACCACAACCTATTTTACGATGAAACGGACAGCACCTCCCTATATATATGACTTTCACACAATTCCAAAACATCACCAAACAGCCCAAACAACATCAATAATAATCATATTGAGCCTCCCAAAACCAGTTCCACGCACAACCAAATCCTTCATACATACGACGGCCACCATAGTCGTGTCAAACGACCCGGAAATGTTACGAAGAACTAACCAGCCCACGAACCTACATTCTATATGGTAATTTCTCCACATCCCTTCCTCCTCCAAAACTCCACAAATAGTATAAACACGCAGCCCAACAGCAACACAAAACAGTCCACAAAACAGTCCGTTACAAGTGAATAACTCGAACTCAGCTTCTCGATCACCGTCCCGTGAGTTTCTACATGTATAGAACGAATTACCATGAATTCACAGCAGAATAAATGTATGAAAGATAGCAGTAAACTCACCTTACTTGTTGGATAACTCAGCCTTATCTTGGTTCTTCAAACACTAGGGTTTACCCCCAATTTGAACTTGAAAGAGAGGGAAAATCAATTTAGGGTTTGTGGATAATTTTTGGGAGGAAGTTTGCAGGGGTTTAGGTCTGGTTATTTGTGAAATATAATGATGGTATATATGCAGAAGATAAGCCTTTTAATGGGCTCCTTGTCTGACCCGAAATTGCCTCTTTTTGGGCTATCATTTAACCAAGTAGGTGACCCACCTACTTGTCACCTAGCAGCTTGTGCAGTCTCGCAAAAATATCTATATCTCTCTACTCCAATGTTGTATTGATAAAAGGTTTAATGCATTGGAAACTAGACTCATAGATCTTCAATTTGGTGGGTAGATCACCCCGTAATTCCAAGTATATTGGGAGAAAAGCTTAATAACATTTGACCTAAAGTTTAAGTAAAACTATGAACTTAAGTTGCAACAACTCTTGTCGACTTTTGTTTCATAACTCGTTTGACTTCAAGACTATGATACGGATATTTTATGATTCATATACCTTAAAATACGACCTCTTGAGAGTATTAAGCACCCCTAGGTTTACCCAAAAATACGGCTGACAACATCCTTGATTCGTTTAACTTCTAGTACTTGTTAACCACCCTTATTCACCTTTGTATCATTTAAGACCAATAGGATTAATCTCTTATCATATCAAAGATAATCTCTTCATGGATTTACGTCGACGACCTTATGGCATGAACTAACGTATGTGAATATGGGTTGTAACACTTGAAGTTAACAAAAATCTGGCCGGCGGTGATGGATTGTGACGAGTTGCAGCAATAATCAATGTATTCCTTGTTCAAATAAGAAGGAGAAACTTTGAATATTTTTGTGCTTTCTCCGAAATTTAGCCTAACCAAGAAATCTTTTCCCAATGTTATTGAAAAATTTTCTGAGACGGAATTGGAAATGATTGCTATGAATCAGAGGAACCCCACGTCTTCGATTCTAAGCACATTTCAGTGCATTGTTGCATTGTACCTTCTATACCGGTAGTAGCGACGACGGGAAAGTATTTGTCGTAATTAGACCAAAAGCGTTGGTACGATTTGGGGATACTGTAATGACCCGACCGGTCGTTTCACGAGTTACAACCCCGTTTCCCCCATTTCTGCTTCTTTATGTATTGTTTAGCTGTATTTCATCGTATCGTGTTGGTTGTGTTGTGTTCGGAGTGGTGTTGGAGTGGAATGAAACACTTAGTCTCTTATTTGGAAGCTTATGTTGGAAAAGTCAACCGGATGTTGACTTATGTGTAGAAGGTCTCGGATGTAAATTTTGATGGTTCGGATAGCTTCGCTAGGTGATTTTGGACTTAGGAGCATGTTCGGAATGTAATTTGGAGGTCCGTGGTAGATTTAGGCTTGAATTGGCGAAAATGAAAATTTGGCGTTTTCCGATCGCTAGTGGAAATCTTGATATCGGGGTCGAAATGGAATTCCTGAAATTGGAGTAGATCCGTTGTGTCATCTGTGACGTGTGTGCAAAATTTCAGGTCATTCGGGTGAGGTTTGATAGGTTTTGGCATCGTTTGCGGAATTAGGAAGTTTGGAAATCCTTAGGCTTGAATCCGAGGGTGATTTGGTGTTTTGATGTTGTTTTGAGGGTTTTCAAGGTTAGAATAAGTTTGAATGGTGATATGTGACTTGTAGGCAGGTTTGGTTGAGGTCCCGAGGGCCTCGGGATGAATTTGGGTGGTTGTCGGAAAGATTGGCATTGAGTTGATGCTGCTGAATTTGCTACTTCTATCATTTTCGAACCTGCGGATTGGGGACCGCAGGTGCGAGGTCACAGATGCGATATGGAGATCGCAGGTGCGTAAATTGGCCATCAGGAGAAGTAGGTGCGGTGCTTGGGGCGCAGATGCGGTCCTGGACGTTTAAGTGGGAACCGCAGGTGCGGTTGGTTGGACCGCAGAAGCGGTTGCGCAGGTGCGAGATTTGGACCGCAGATGCGGAAGTTCTTGGCAGAAAGTATATAAGCTGCCCTTCGCGAATTTCAGTCATTTTTCACCATTTTCGGATGATTTTGGAGCTCCAAGCAGTGATTTCAAGAGGGAATCGAGGGGTTTCAGTGAGGTAAGCTACTTGGGCTTTGTATTTTATGTTTGTAATGATTTTTCCACTACCTAATCATGAAATTGGTGGGGAATTTGGGGTGAAGTTGAAGGTTAGGGCTTGAGTTTTGGAGAGCTTTGATTGGGGATTTGAGGGGCCATTTGAAGTCCGATTTTGATGGTTTTTGTATGTATAGACTCGGGAGTGAAAGGAGTTTCTAGTTTTGTGATTTTTGTTGGATTTTGAGACGTGGGCCCGGGGGCTGGGTTTGAGTCCAATTCGGGATTTTTGGTCTAATTTTATTATTTTCGTGTGGTTTTTATTCCTTTAGCGTATATTGATGATAATATACTGATTTTGGTTGGATTCGGAGCATTTGGAGGCCGGATCGAGAGGCAAGGGCATCGCGTGTTAGAGCTTTAGCTTGATTTGAGGTAAGTAACGCTGCCAAACTTAGTTCTGAGGGTTCGAAACCCCGAACTATGTGTTCTATGATTAATGTTGAGGTGACGCAAATGCCAAGTGACGGGCGTGTGGGCGTGCACCGTGAGAATTGCGGCCTGGGTCATTCCATGGCACCGCTTAGTGACTCTTTCTTGTTGATATCCATGTAGTAAGTATGTGAATCAGTTAATGAGCTGTAAGTCATTCTAAATACCATGTTAGGGCTTCACGCAGATACTGTTGAGACCCGAGAGGTCGTTTCTTGCTGTCATATCATTAGCTTTATTGATATTCTGTACTCAGTCTTGTTCATGCATATTTTATCATGTCTCAGTCTCGATTATTGTTATTTGGCACATCATATCATTGTTTCGGGCTAGTTTATTAACATTGTGAGCCCCTGTGTGTGAGACTAGAGAGTGTTGACTGAGTGAGGCCGAGAGCCTGATTATGAGTGACAGTATGGGATCAGGCTGCACGCCGCAGTAGATTATTGATTATGCCTTCGTTGGCTTGTTATAGCGCTTGGGCTGAAAGGAGCCCCTTCGTAGTCTATACACCCCCAGTGAGCGCAGTTGATATTATTGAGGGATGGATCTTCCCTGGACATGGATCTTGTCCGAAGTACTTATACCTGGAGATGGATCTTCTCCATAGGGCTGGAATGGCCTTCCTCGGTACACGGTGACTGTGTCAGTGATGTGTATATATTCCGGGATGGATCTTTCCTGGGCTGGATGGCCATATACAGTACCGAGTGGTTGAGCACTTGAGAGTGGGAGTACATGGCACATTTTTATGTTTTCTGTACATGGGTACATAGAGATTTGCTGAGCTTTATACTTCACATTGTTCAGAATTGTATTTACTCACTGTTGAGCTGAACACTTGAACTGCAAGCATGCCCATTTTACTGTACAGTTTTATTGTAATTACCTGTTGAGGTTTGGTTCGTCACTACCTAGCAGTCCATAGTTTGGACTTGTTACTTATTGAGTTGGCGTACTCACGTTACCCCCTGCACCTTGTGTGCATATCCAGGTATCTCAGGCCACGGTAGCGGCTGTTGACTGTTCCAGACGCGGATTTCACCGGAGATAGCGAGGTAGCTGCCTGACGTTCGCAGTCCCGCCTTCCTCCTTCTTTATTTTCCTTCTAGTATATTTTGGATATTTCAGACTATTTTGGTCTAGTTGTGTTTCGGAACAAATGAAGTATTGCTCATGACATAGTGACACCCGAGGTCGGGCTTGTATTTTCCTCTTTTATTTTGGTTTTGACTTTATATCTTTTATGAAATTTCAATTGAAAGTGGTATTATTTAAGCTTTAAATGAAATGTTGAACTATTTTGGAAATGTGTCGGCTGCCTAGTTTCACGATAGGCGCCATCACGATCGGGTCGGTTTTGGGGTCGTGACAGATACTTGCAACTTTACTTCTGACAATGGAACAACTGGATTTCGCCGGAGAAAGGAATGGACGGCGATTAGTTCGTCAGGGAAAGAGAAGGAAAGAAGCAACATCACGTCTTTCGCCGCCAAAGAAAAGCCGAATTAGCGACTCTATTTCTGGTTCAAAATTATCACAATTTCCAAGATAAAGAAGCTTAATTATGATTTAACGTTTGAGATATTTCACAATTCGCCGGAAAAAACCTAACATTAATATATTTGAATTGCCTTTTATTAGTATAAATATCTTTCATAGTGGTTCATTTATTTATTCAGTTCTTCACATGTCGACGCCATTTGCTGAAAATCTTGCGTACATCACGGAAGACAACAATATACCTTAGTGAAGCAGCAAGTACAATTATGCACCAGCAAATTGCAGATCTTATGAAATAACAAAGACCCTAAGAAAACAGATAAACAATTCATAAATTATATAAAATAACGGTTTTTTGGTGGCGGTAAATGATGGTGGATGTCTGGGGATCCATGACTTGGTGTATAGTCAATAATCACTATTGAATCATCTTGATCATTGATTGTGTATTTCTCCATTTCATTAACCTTAGCTGGAGTGCTTGCATAAGCTTGTATTGATTCGATTTCTCTTCTTTCAATTCCTCCTGCTAATAAGTATAATAAATGAATATATATAAAAAAATAAATAGGCATCACTTTGATATATTTGTGAGATTAAATATATATAAAACAATGAAAGAGAGGGGGCCGGAATAAAATTACCTTGTGTCAGTATTATAATGAAGCACACCAAAAAGATGGTCTTCAAAAGAAGAAGATTTGTAGTTGCAACAGCCTTAACCATGACTACTATATTACACTATCAAAAAAATTCTGATGAAAGATATGGTATTATATATTTGCACTTTATCCAGCCTTTAAATGCTAAAAAATCGTACGTATTCAAATTTTGCTTAAATTCTTAGATCAGCTGGTCAAGGCTGAGAAGATTAGGTATCACTTTTATTTCTTTCCACCGTTCGGTCTTTCAAACTAAGCAATCACCTTACCTCAAAATCAACAGTAGGAGTTAAAATCTTAAGGTCAAATCTTACCTTAAAAAGCATGCATGCAATTAATAACAAGTAAAAATGGTTGTATTGCTTTAGAGTTCGTTCTCAACATACTCTATTACACAATGAAATAGCAAATTAAAGACCCTTATTACTAAAGAGGGGGATGGGGAGTCGCTGGCGATGTATGAGCTGGTGTATAGTCAATCACTATTGAATCAGCTTGAATTTCTGTTTCCTTTTCCATTTCATAAACCTTCGCTGGACTTGCATAATCTTGTTTTGATTCCATTTCTCTTCTTCCAATGCCTAGCTGCTAANCCATTTCTCTTCTTCCAATGCCTGCTGCTAAGTACAAAAAGAATAGGAAAAAAAAAGTTAATCACTATTATACTTGAAAAGGTGGATTCAACTTTGATGGAGTCAACCATTAAAGTTCGTAGAGCGGATCTTAATGCACATCTGATATTATGGCTTCGAATTGAGATATACTATTCCCTCCGGTTCACAATAAGTGACCAATTTGCTTTTTTATTTTGGTTCAAAATAAGTGTCCAGTTATGTAATCAAGAAAGAATTCAATTTGTTTTTACAAATTAACCCCTATGTACATATCCCTAAAAAGTTTTCTTACTCCTCACATTAAGTGTTTAATTAGGGGTAGTTTAGTCATAATAGGTATTTTTGTATAGAATTTAATATTTTCTTAATGGGCGTGCTAAAAGCAAATTGGTCACTTATTGTGAACTGGAGGATTAATATTTGTTACTAAAATTTTATGATTTTTACATTAGCTGATGACCTACATAAGCCACAACTAGTAAGATGAAAAATAATTATGTCAAATGAAAGAGGGTGCATTACCTTCTGTCACTATTAAAATGGAACAAATCAAAAAGATGGTCTTGAGAAGAAGAAAATTGTTTGTTGCAACAGCCTTCATCGTCAAGACTACTGCTTCAAAAAAATTCTGATCAGAGATGTGATATTATTTGCACTTTCTTCAGCCTTTAAATACTGAATAATCATGGGCATTCACATATGCATGTGAACAAGTTTTTGAATATAATCTGATATTGGTAATAAAAGGTTGATAAGATTAGAATCTTTTTTATTTCTTAGCCATATACAAATCTCACTAAGCTATTAAATTCAATAGCATGTTTGGTCTTTCCAGCTAAGAAAGATATAAATTTATTAAAATTTTACTTATAAAACCTGCTTATAAAATTTAAAAATCTTTAAGCCATTAACAATTCCAAAGATATACATGTGTAACGAACTAATTGCTGATCAAGCCTAAGTTTGTCCCTCTACGAACGTATACTAAATTAAACGATTGATTGAATTTGAATCATGAATCTAATCAGAGTTATATCATGCACTCATGATTGTAAGTTGGAACGATGCTGGTCTCTCAATTGATCCAATATATATAATTATTTAAATAAGTAATCTAAAATCAGTGGAGGGTCTATATACCAAAGTGTTATTACATAATAAAAATACAAAGAGCAACTACTAAAAATACCAATCATCTTAATTAATTAATGTAAAATATACCACAGTCACGTTTTCCCCCCTATTCTTTCTAACAGAAAGATAACACCAAGCCAATAAAGGACAGCTCTAGATGCAAGTATGTAAGTTAGGCTAGCCTTAACTGTGGTCATTTTCTTCTGGATGGGTAGAAAAATATTCTGATTAACATTTGCACTAGAAAGGGAGAGAGACCCCTTCCTTAGGGCTTGTGCATGGATCGGATCGGATTGAATCTAACACATTTCGGATCGGATTTCGGATTTCGGATTCTAGAAAATGCAATTGGAATCCGATCCGAATTAATATCAAATCGGACCGGATTTTAAAGTCTGGATCGCATTGGATTTTCGGATTTCCGATCGGATTATTATGCCTCAAAGTTGCAATCTCATATGTATATTTTCTTTGTAAAAGAGGCAATACAGTAAGAAAAATTCATGTTTCTGCAAGTCCATATAGCTAAATCCATCAATTGTAAATGTAATAACTTGGAGGAAAATGTAAAGGAAGTACTAACTATCCGAAGTTAAAGTTTAGTATTTATACATGCCCTAATAATCTCGGATCGGATCGGATCGTACTAAAATTATACCAATCCGAATCCGATCCGAAATCCGAAATTCTAATAAACACAATCCGAAATCCTAAATTGAACGGTTCGGTTTGGATTTCAGATATCCGATCCAAATGAACAGACCTGCCCTTCCTTAACGAGCATGCAAAAAAATAAGAACTTGCATGAAATAAAAATTGCTACTAGTATATATTGCTTCAGAGTTACGGTAAAATATAACGGAGACCTTATTATAAACGTAATTATAAAAGATGTGTTATAAATAAAGTTTTATTTAAGGAGAATGTCTATCTTTTAGAGAGATTTTAGGGATTTTACTTTGTTGGCTAAGTCACTCTTTCCCTATAAATAGAGGGGTCCTATTCCATTATAATTCATCCCAAAATCAATAAGAAATTCGTGCTCCCTACTTTTCTCTGCAATACTCTTTTTCTTCTTTTATTGTTTTATAACACGTTATCAGCACGTGACTCCAACCAATTGGGTAGAAGCTTTGGGATTGAGCATAATGATTGTCAATTGTTCCAATAACTTCCTTCATGATTAAATTCTGGATTAAAGGTAAGTATTTTACTTTATTTTTCTCTTTTAAATACTAGTATTTCTATAATAGGATTTTATATACAAGCAAAGACAACAAACTTTGATTATAACTCTAATAGAGTTTTGTCACAACCCGAATTTCCCACAGTCGGGACCGTGATGGCGCCTAACATCGCACTCGCTAGGCAAGCCAATGTTAGAGAATATTTTACCCTTTTTCCTTTACTTTTATAATTAAAACTAAAAAAAACTAAATCAACAGAATTAAACGCGGAAGTACATAATAAACTGATCATCTTTATACTATTAACAGAAAAAACGAACGTTACCACCCAGAAACTGGTGTCAGAACTCACGAACTTTCTACAGATTAATACAAATACTGGTCTGAAAGAAAAGAATACATCCTTCTCGAAAGTAAAAAAAAAGAGATATAGAATGTAGGAGGGAACGCCAGGGCCTGCATGACTACCTTGGGTATCCTGACTGAAGTATCAGCAACCGACCTCTCGATCAGCCACTACCAGCTCCAAAATCTACACAGAAAGTGCAGCTTGCAGTATCAGTACAACTGACCCCATGTACTGGTAAGTGCCGAGCCTAACCTCGACGAAGTAGTGATGAGGCTACGGCGGGGCTTAAACAATATATCCTGCAACAATTTATAATAAAGCAAGAAGAAAATACGGAATGAAATAGGACAGAAACTTGCATTAAATAAATACAGAACCCAGTCTTTCTACCAACACTCAGCTACAACCAATCCTTAAGAGAGTTTCAACACCACAATAATTCTCAGCAGAAGAAGAATGCATAGATAACAAATGATGCGGCGCGCATTCCCATCCCACCATATAATCAATAACAAAATGAACATTCACCCTTATTACTCCTTGTTGCGCCATGCAACCCGATCCCACCAGTCCACCCTTATTACTCCTCAATATATCACCCTTATTTCTTCTATTGCGGCGTGCAACCCGATTCCACCTGTCCACCCTTATTGCTCCTTGTTGCGGCGCGCAACCCGATCCCACCAGACAATCACATTTCACCCTTATTCCTCTTGTTACAGCGTGACACCCGATCCCACCACATCATCATAAAATAAGAAAAAGTATTTCACAAGTTAACTCAAATCATGCACAACATTTATACCTCACCAAAACAACGGAAGATCACCACAATTATGAAACTTCATCAGTTAATGCTACACAGCGAGACCAACCAAGGTGTACCATGAAGCACCGATAAACCAACGTAAACCAATAGTGCGATATAATGAAACTACGGAATTAATACTAACGTCAATAGAGAAAACAACATTTAACAAGAAGCAATTAGACATGGAAGCATCAATAAGCAAGTAGCAGTTAAGACAGGGAAGCAATATATTAGGAAACTGGGAAGGGACAGGCTAAACAGACGATTTGGCGATGCATAGGTACTCGTCACCACACCTATACGCCACACACATGGAATTTTACATAGAAAGTAAGTCGGGGATCCCTAATCCCTCGAGTCAAGGTTAGACCAAATACTTACCTAAAGCCAACGGGCAATTCAAAGCTCAAATACCGCTTTACCTCTCGATTCCACCACCAATCCACTCGTATCTAGCCATAATCAACTTAATAACATCAATTAACGCTAAAGAAATCAATTCCAATGCATAATTATAGNTGTGAGTAGCAGGAGCTGTCGCTCCTCCCCCCACGCCCGACGAGACGCTGGTTCTACAGGAAGTATGCCGGCCTGAGTAACACTCTCTATAAGGTCCACTCGACGGACCAAAGCATCCTGAAGTACCGGGGTAACAATGAACCCCTCTAGAACCTGAGCTGGCCCCGCTGGAACGGTCTGGGCCTGAGCCTCCTCGTCGAACTCTACCTGAGGCTCCGTCGCTGGTGCTGCTGCTCAAGCTCTGGGCTGTGCCCTTCCCCTGCCTCGGCCTCTAGCACGGCCTCGGCCTCGTCCTCTGCCCCTCGTAGGAGCTGCCACTGGGGGCTCGGGCTGCTGATCAGCTGATGAAGCGGTACGTGTTCTCGCTATCTGCGAAAGAACAGAGTAGAGAGTTCAATTAGCATTGGGAGATCAAACCGCACGACAGAGATTAATAGAAGTGAAATCATTCCTAACCCTATAGCCTCTGGGG